ACGCTCGCCTTGTAACCAGAAGGTCGTCGGTTCGAACCCCGGTGGCTGCCTATTGTATCCTCCTTAGACAAAGGGGCCAAGTATGTCCATTGTACGTTCCTTGATTATACATCTGCTTTCGACTCTGTACCTAGAGGCCTATTGTTAAACAAGCTTAGCCTTGCACAAACTGAGCCCTGGGCTATCAACTGGCTACACTCTTACTTCTCTAATAGGACGCAGTACATGGTATATAATAGTGTATCTTCCTCTCCTTTGCTTACTGAAGCTGGAGTTCCTCAGGGTGCTGTCCTCTCTCCGTTTCTCTTTCCATTCTTCTTACATTATTTACCTCTTTCAGATGAAATCAACTTCTTCTATAAATATGCAGATGACCTGTCTGTATAGTTTCCCATTAAGTCTCAGTCAGACTGTTTCAAACTAAATAGCTTCCTGTCGGACACCAGTCAGTGGTCTAAACTAAATGGTCTCACGCTGAATCCCTCAAAATGCCAGACTACTGACTTCTCCCTTAGGCATAAACGAGATCTACAAACACTAGTATGTTATCATGAAGCCTGTTGCATTGAGGGGACTAAAATTGAAACTAAGTCTAATGCAAAATACCTCGGTCTAGTTCTATCTTCCGACCTTACTTGGACATCCCATATCCTAATGATTTCTAAGAAAGTGTTCTGTCTTACCTACTACATTAAGAAACTTAGACAATCTGGAATCACCAAACCTCTACTTTCACAATTTGTCGACTCTTGTATCTTACCTATTCTACTTTACTGCTCCCCGTTAGTCTTTCCTGGGATACTGAAAAATGACTATGCCATCCTGAGAAGGATGTTGAAGGTAGTTAATAGGACCAGTGGTGTAAAAGTCAGTCAGCTCGTCACTACATTAGTTGAAAGGCATCTGAATACATGCGAAAAATGGTCTAAAACCATACTCTCCAACCCCCAACACCCCCTCTATTCCCAACACTCGCCTTGTATCTCATAAGGCAGAACCAGAAATCAGTATAAAATAATTTATGCACGTATAACCAAGTACAGGAACTCAACGACACTTGACAATGCTAAGCGCGAAACCTATGACTTGCTTTGTTGTTAATAACATAATTTTAGGCTCTTTTATTTCTCTCTTATTTAGTATTCTATAGTGAACTGCTTCTTAAACATACTTAGCTACCTAAATTATTAACATTAGCTTACTTTTTGTACTTTACTGTATTTCCTTCCATTGTGTATCTACTGGTTCCAACTATATTAGCACTATGAGTATTACAAAATTGTCCTGTCATTAACCATCATGTAATTATTAGTTTTTGTGGTTGTTGTTTTTTATTCTTATTTTTTTAGTTTTTGTTCGGCAATATTAACTGACAATCATTGGTTGTGAACGCCATTACCATCATCTCAAAATTTTGTATTATGCAGGATTACTCACACTATCACTACAAACACCGCATTAGACCTTATAAAAAAAACAACAACCCTGAAATGTTATTTTATGATTGTTTAGAGTTGTTTCAACCAAATTAACTGATCATCTTGGCGATAAACATTCTTAAATATCATTTCATAACTTCTTGTATGACTATAGCTTTACTGTCACAATGCATAATCATATCATAGCTTCCACTACCCAATACTGAGTTATTATTATATGCTGTTTATTTTCCTTTCTATTTCTTTGTATTTTTTTCGCACTTTTTTTAAAATTATTCTGTTTTTCCTGTTTTTTTGCTGTTGGTGTCTTTATATTTATTTTTTTTGAAATACTCCTTTTAAATGTTTGATAAAATTAGATGCAAATATTGTAGATATGTGCTGAAAATTCCACACTGTACCACTAGTACTGTTTCTGGAACAAAGCAAATTATTATTATTATTATTATTAAATTCATATTAATAATACACGCCACAGTTATATTTGTGTAAATGTGTAAATGCAAATAGATTGCATTGCAGGTAATTTATGAATGCGTGGTTAACCTTTAGTGTCAGTGTTATTCATCAAAGGCGCTTTTATGAATAAACCCACTTATTATTAGTTTATTGTTAATAACAGTGAATAAAATGATGAACGAATTTTTATTCGCATATCGGCTTCAATTTTATCTACCAAAGTATAAACATTGGATGGAAGAAGACAGAGAGATGAGTTCAAGTTCGTATTTTTGAAAAAAACTTTCCAAATAACCTGAGAATAAATCGATAAATAAGTATTAAATACTGCTATCAAAGGTCACCTGGTTGATACTGGACATAATAGAGATATTCTGAAATTGTTCAAAGCAATCAATAAGCAAAGGGAATTCAGTTTATTGTGTTTTTTTCAAGAGTTGGTTTGCAGGTATTTGTTTGGTTACAAGATTTCATCGTGAGCTGATATCGGTTATAGGATCACTGGAAAATCTAGAAATACTAGACGGTTGTTTCGTCCTAGCTTGGGACTCTTCATCCCACAAGGGTTCGAACCCAGGACCTTCCGGTGTGTGCACAACTGAAAAGTAAATATTTCTTTTTCAGAATTGTTGTTTTCTAAATTTGTTGTAACTATTCCAACAATCTAATACTCAACAATACTTTAACAATACGTATCATTTTAGTGTACTCCAGGCACTTCTGATTTCTTGCTTATCACAGCAGGAAAGGCATGGTTGTTTCAACGATAGGCAGCATGCGGAAGGGTATCAAAGCCAGTCAAGATCAAAAAAGCGAGATAAACCTTCATTAATCTGAAATCAGTGTGGAAACCAACTGGACTAAGCATAAAGAACAAGATTTGGATTTTCAATACTAATGTAAAGTCAGTTCTCCTATATGGTGCAGAGACTTGAAGTGTCAGCAAAAGCACTCCGAACAGGCTATTGGAGACTGTCACCAAATAGCTGCCTTAGATCAATTCTGAAGATAAGATGGTCAGAATGGATTAGAAACAAGGAACTCTAGTAACGGACCAATCAAGAACCTATTGCACAACAAGTATGCTCAAGTAAATGGAGATGGATCAGACACACTCCACCGAGTGACATAGCACGCCAGGCCATTGCTCGAGTGGAGGGAGAATGGGAAACGATAACTTGGCCAGGGGTTCCAGTGTGAGATGATAAGATCGTATGAGAAGAAAATGATAGCTTATAGGCAATCATGGAGCCAGAGGAGGAGGAGTGCAGAGAACAGGATGAAGTGAAGATGAGTTGTTGAAGCCCTATGTTCCACTCAGGACCTACAGGGATAATAATGTTCCAGTTTTTGTAATGCATACATTTAGTATTGTTTTGGTTGCAGACAGCTGAGAAGAATTCGATAAATAATTTTAAAAAATATTGAGCTAGTATTATTGCCCATTGAAGAAATTGTTTTAGGAATTCAGTTGTGCCTCACATCTACTATCTTTAAATTCCAAGGTAAAATATATCGACAAACAGGTGTAGCAATAGGATCACCAATATCCCCTATTGTAGCGGATATATTTATGGACAGCTGGGAAAATATTGCTCTGAATACATTTAATCCTACTCCAAAAATATGGTGGAGATATGTGGATGACACTTTCACAGTGTTAATAACAGAACATATCTCTAACTTACTAGTAGAGGAAATAAAATTCAGATTTGAATCGGAAAATGAGCAAGGAGAATTAGCTATGTTAGATTGTAAAATAAAACGAATAGAAGAAGGTAAACTGCACACTAGCGTTTATAAAAAACCAACGCATTCTAGTAGATATTTAGACATTAATTCATCTCTTCCCTTCGTTGTCTGTGAAGGCAGGCTTAGTAGTTAAGTGTCTAACAAACCGAGTAGTAGCACTAAGTAATACAAGAAAAGACCTAAATGATGAAATAAAACAGATAGAAGAGGCGTTGGTGTTAAATAACTATCCTATAAAATTCATTAAGAAGATCAAAAAAGGTCAGAAGCAAAATAAAAATAATTGTGAAACTAGTAGTGATAACATAAATAAGAAAGAATATAAGTCATCTACTGTTATAACATATAAGGAGGAGACATCTGAAACCCTACGTAGGATTCTTAATAAAGCAGGAATTAGGGTGGCATTCAAACCCACAAACTCACTCAGAGACAAGCTCTGTAGGCTAAAAGACCCGGTGGACCCAATTAAACAAAATAATATAATTTACAAAATACCTTGCAATGACTGTGAGTTAGGTCAACTACATAGGTCAAACTAGTAGGTCAGGGGTAGTCAGATTGTCGGAACATAAGAATTTAGCTAAGGTAAGAATGGTTGACACTGAGAAGATGAGTAATTTAGAAAAAAGTTCAGCAATTGCACTACATGCATTAACACACAACCACACAATATGGTGGGAGAGGGTTGAGGTTCTAAGAAGTAATCTATGTAAGGGGGAGAGAGAGACTGATTACTGAATCCTTGTTCATTGAGTCTACACCCAACACATGCAACAGAAATGACTCAATGCAAATACCAGAAATATGGAAGATATTATTACCACCAGTCAAATCAGAAGAGGATAAAAAATAATCTCAAAATTCTATTTCAATTCAAACACATCACAACATCCTAACGAGTTACTTATTTTGACTATAAAAACACTCGTCTTATTTCCCATCTGATTGTAATTGATCAATACCACTCATATTATTATTATTTCTGAATGTACATTATCCTATATTGATTTTTATTCAAATATCTAATCAATTCCACTCATGTATATAAATGAAGAAAAAAAGTTGTTTGAGTAACTTGATATGATTATGAGCAATAAATTGTGCTCGAAACGTCATCAGTTAATATTACTGTATAACACTGTGATTTTATTAAAATAAAATCTTATCCATTATGGAGTTATACTCTACCACAGTGCCCAAGTTTTATTCTTATATCAATAGTATTATTCTGCTGTATTCTTTGTTCTGACTCAGTTCAAAAACATCATTTATCAGAGCTAACTGCCTTAGACGACAGAAGTAATCAATAGAAAAACAATAAAAAAGGCATCAAAAGTAGTAACTCACAGCATTGTCTGTTGTTGTTATTACTACTACTATGGTACATTGTGGAGTGATAAGAAAGTGGAGTTGTGAATGGTCGTTGAGAAATGTCAACTGTATCATCAGGCAGTACATTGCTACTATGTACAGGTTGATCAGTTGTCTTATCCTTTATCTCTGAATCATCAGTAGAAGTGAATAAATTAGGATTATATGGATAGTGACTACGATACTCATATTTTGCAGACGGTAGTATATGTGAAGATATAACAGGATCAATTGGTGATTGGTTATTTGAGAAACAATCGATAAATGGCATAACCTGTACATCTGTCATATCTAAAATATATGAAACAAATAAAATTTTTAGTGAATTTCGACTAGTAAAAATTGAAGAAGAAGAAGCTAAAATTGGATTCTGTCACAAACTGACAACAGTTAGAGTACAAATCTAAACCAGGGAGCAGTGGATATTTGTTTCATTCTAGTGTGATGTCATTCACCATATAGCGTAGCGTAACAGCAGCCATTCGATTTCAAGGTGAGCACTGCAGGTGAACATAGAAAAGATAGAGGTGATGAAGATAACCAATGAACAGCAACAAAAACCAGCACCAGTCACCATCAACGGGAGAAATTTGAAAGAGGTTACTTCCTTCACTTATCTGGACACGAAGCACGGTTTCAACCACAGACACACCACACGGATGAAGAGGTCAAAGTCAGCCAGCCACAATCGGAAAGACAAGATACGCCGTCAGCAACCTGGAAGCAGTTTGGAAGTCTTGCACTGCGTTCCACGAAAAGGATTTCCAACACGCCACTGTAGACTGTTATCAACAACTGCCCTTCGCTGGCTGGCTCCATACTGAAGATCAAATGGCCAACCAGAAAGAATTAGCTACTGGAAACTTTGTAGTGGAACAAACTGACCAAGAGCCGGTTGCTCAACAAATATGTGAAGAAAATGGAGATAGATCAGGCATACGTTGAGGAGTCCGTCAAATGACATTGCACCAGGCCACAGCTCCAGTGGAATCCCAGTGGGAAGCGATGAGTGGGTCGTCGGCTCGAGAATGACATGCATTAGGTCGTGTGAGGAAGAGATGAAACAGTTCGGGCAATCGTGGACCCAGCTGAAGAGGATGGCAGAAAATAGAAGAAAGTGGAGATGTGTTTTTGAAGCCCTGTGTTCCCCTCGGAACCCAAGTGAATAATAATACATCATGATAAGATGAAACTCTACATAGCCCGAAATTTCCCTCTTCTGTCATTTCACTATAGGGTGACAGTGTACTTCAGTTATTTTTCAGGAAGTAGAATGATGACTGCATAACCAACAGATCTTATTTTACTACAACTTGTTGTCTTTTAATTTCAAAACTTAATTTATATACATGTTGAGTATCATGTTAAATATTAGAAGTAGATTGATAGGAAATCCTGATTTTGCAACTGAGTAAACACTTACGTTGTTAACTGTCAAATTTAAATCTGTACCATTATTCTGTGTCCGACTGAAAGATTCCACTCCTAAGAAGTTCAAGCCACAATTTTCAACTAGGAGCATGAAATTTGGTACATGGTGACTAGCAGTGGAATCTAGGATGCACATTTCGTCCTAATCGGGACTTGTCAACTGGATGTACCTGCATTCCCCAGTGAGTGATGGTGTTCCTACTGAGGCTCGAACCCGGAACCCATTGTTTCAAACTCCGGAGCATTATGCATTAAACCACTTGGGGAACGGAGCCACCTTTTGTGCGCATTCTGGATTCCACTGAAAGTCGCCAAACATTTTAGTCCAATCAATCAACGGTAAAATCAAAGTTGAATTAAAAATAAATTACAGAACTGTGTAGTTTACAAATTTCAAATTTAATTCTACATAATACTAGTACTCTTAAGTAGCTAGTCGGAATTCCGATGATTTGAATGGATTCGGCACTCTGAGCTGCGTCGAACCGAAGATGTCACTCATGAGGCAAGCCAAAAACGACCGAAACGGACCTTGAGTTTTGAGATCACTTAGATTTGGCTATCTAACACTTCCAGTTAGTGGGTATAACCTCTAACTAATCATACCAATTGACAGAATAGACCATCATGCATAAATATGCTTGTTTTCTAGTTTGACATTTACAGTACCAAGCAGATCACACATCATGATTTGAATAATTCCGGTCTCCATAGGAAACTGTGGTGACATTTCATCTCGAACTGTGTAAGTTGCAAACCCTGAACTTAACACCAAGTGCTAAATAGAATCTGGATATAAAACAATCAATGCAACTTCCAGTCTTAGGTGATAACTTGAAATCTGTAAACTGACTTCTAGTAATCTAACACTAAAACAAGTTGCATAATGTGCCAGCCAGCTAATCACAGTTTTACGATAACCATTCACTTGGCACCATTTACTAGTCAATTTGAGTAGCATTTTTGTTGTCATCCCGAACAATTCAGACAATTTATAAACATCGCATAAACTAATTTTAGGTAATTATATTTCATAGTATTTTACGATTAAACGAATTTGTTCTCTGAATTGTACTTAATATTGGGTATCTAGTATTGTTTTATATTAGACCGACAACCGATGTTTATGAAATATCAGCCAATCAAGGCAGTTTGTCACTAGGACGATCGATAAAAAGAGGATACTGATTGTGTACATATTCGTCATTGTCACTCAACCACTATTACTTCTACTACCACTGCACACAATACTACTATTGCTACGAATTCTGATAATGATGATAAGGCGCTTATGGACAGAATGGCTGCACTGACAGATAGCTTCAATAAAACGTTTTGTTTCTGTTTCTCCAACTGAAACTTGGACCCAGCACCTATTTGCTTAAATGCGAAAGCCTTATCCCGAAGGCTAAAGAACCGACAGGCATCTTATATCATTTTCGTTATTATTATTAGTAGTAGTAGTGCCAGTAGTATTATCATGATAATGTTTCACTGCACAATCCACGTTACTTGTTATCGTTCTGATAGCGAATTGCTTCTTGCTTCTTTTTACATTAACAACTCTAATTAAAGAAATAAAATGAAGACCAAAGTGAACAAACTAGTTTTTCAGTAGTAAGAACGATGGTCACATTACCCATGATAATAGAAATAAGATTAACTAACACCACCAACAGCAACAGCAACAACAACAGACAACGATCAGCATAAATGGAAGGAACCTGAAAGAAACAACCTCTTTTACCTACCTGGGAAGCATCGTCCCAACTACAGGCGGACGAACCTGACGAGGATATCAAAGCAAGAATCGGAAAAGCAAGACAAGCTTTCATTACTCTCAAGTCTGTGTGGAGGTCAACAACACTCAGCATCAAAAATAAGATCCGGATTTTCAACTCCAATGTGAAGTCAGTGATACTATACGGATCAGAGAATTGGCCAACGCGTCATAAAGAGCACCTCATACAAACTACAAACCTTCATCAACAGCTGCTCAGTACTCGCTCAATACTCCAGATCAGATGGCCAGAAAAGATCAGCAACAGGGAGGGATCTCTGGGAGCGAACCAACCAGGAACCGATTGTGAAACAAATAGGCAGGAAGAAATGGAGATGGATTGGCCGCACACTTAGGAAACCATCAAGTGATATCACTAGACAAGCCATTGCTCGAGTGGAACCCGAAAGGGTAGCGGCGAGTTTGTCGTCAGTGCAAGGGTGACTTGGAGGAGGTCATTTGAAGAGGAGATGAAAACGTGTGGGCAGACATGGAGCCAGGTGAAGACTCTAGCAGAGAACCTAACGCAATGGAGACGCACGGCTGAAGCCCTATGTTCCTCTAGGAATTAAAGGATACAATAATAATAATAACGCAGCTGGTGATAAGGTTATGGGAAAAAAAAGTTATGACAGTGTAAATCATATTCGTCATTTAATGTGAAAATTCAATACGGCTCCCTTTGGGCAAGAGAAATATTCGCAGATCACAATATATGATTAGGTTAGTATCATTAAATGGCAAACAAGAAAGCAAATGAAATACTATTGAACTGTATACTACTGATTAACTGATATGAGTAGTCGGGGTCTACTCAAGTCAAACAGTGGCAGTCACTAGCCAGACTGAAACGATCTAAACACCGGACAACCGTTTATCTCATTTGTGTCAGGGCCCATCAGTGTGGTGTCTCTGGGTTTGGTTTAGCTCAAACAATTAGAAATCCAGTCAAAACTTAGAAGTGAATTCGTTATCTGCAAATTACACAGCACTGAGGGGAGGATCCACTACAGTTTATATTGGGAACCAGAAATAATCACCTCTCAAAATATCATCTGCTTGATACCACCAATGACAATCGAGGAGACAAATACTCTGACAAGCCGGTAAATGCAACTTACTGATCCATATGCGAAGTTTAAACAAATACAATAAACATATAATGAAAGGGATAGGAAGTTTTACTGGTGGATTCATTTTCTTTTTACTTCAGTCAACGCAGAGAAGAGCCTTCTCCAGAATGCAGAAATTAGGATTCTTTGTGAAAATCTGCATAGTTCCAGATATGTGCAGAATACAAGTTTGAATTCCATCTATCACGTTGGGCAAAATCTAATAAATAAACAACATCGAAAGCCTAAAGACTCGTGTATTAAGTGTCTGATGCCAGAGAGATGGGACTGAGATAAACCTCCAATAACAGTGAAGGTAGATGTTCAACAATCCGTCTCTTAGGTTACCTATTTATTCACTCTATACAGATTATTCGATAAGAGTAGCTAAGTTTGTAATTTTCTCCCAGTACTCAGAACCTTCACCAACAAAAAAGTCCATCGTTTAATAATAATAATAATTTCAATGCAGACTTCGTCACCACCCAACGTCAGTTAGAGAACAGTTGAAAAACAAGAAGCACCGGAGAGTTATTTCGTCCTAGTTTTGGACTCCTCAACAGTGCCTACCCAGTGGGGTTCACGGTGTCAGGATAACGTGAATGTTCATCGAAGGTATTAGTTGGGAGTAGCGCTATATCACGAGTCGACAAAGAATTCCCGAGTCACCGCAATCTACTACAAGTGGCTGAATGGTCAACGGGCTTAGTGTTGTAACCTGAAGGTCCCAGGTTCGATCCCTGTTGGGGTTGTGGATGTGCACCGCCGGAAGACGAATAAAATGGCCTCTAACTGATATTGGTTCATGAAATTCAAATTAATCCAGATCCCTTCAAAAAATCCATAATCTAAGTGATAATAATACTAATAGTAATCAGTAATACAGAAAATTTACCAGCAGTCCGATGAATTTTAAGACAATCATCAATGTCCATTTTCCGATGATCATAATTGACACGGTCACCACCGACACTGACACCGTCACCGACATCTCGATTCATGTCATCATCTTCATCATCATCATTATCAGATTTGTCGTCATCATCATCGTCATCATCGATATCATTATCATCAGTTAAATCGACATGTTCAGGAGAGGCGTATCTGGCTAGTTGAACTGATGGTTGTACTAATTCTGGATTAAGAAGACACGGATCAGAATACTAACAAGAGAAAGAAGTGAAGCAAATTATTATTCAATCTGTTGAAAAGAAGAATTATTTTTACATATTTTATTTCAAATGCATTTTATTAACAGTAATAAATAAATAAATAAATAAATAAATAAATGAGAGTGTAGTTTAATTATATCAGAGTTTTATGTACTAGCACATTAGTCAAATTCCTGGTGGCCTGCTCAAACTCCTGTGCTATATAAACTGCTATCTAGCATAATGCATCTACTTTCCTCCGTTTCTTGTTATTCTGATCATCCACTTATGTCACTGGATTGCAACGTACACTTCATGGAAATGAGGATAAATGTCGTAGACGAGTGGGTCGTGTTTCAGATAAAATGACGTTGAATCACACGGTATACTGTCTATGGATATTCCATGCGGGAATTACACATTTTGCAGGGAATAACGCTGAGAATTCTGTATTGCTTGTAACCGTAACTTTGAGAGTAAAGCCGATATTATTATCTATGATAAATACATATATATATATATCATTAAATCACTCCCACGAAGTCCCGATTACACTTCCTCGACTGACTTAGTCTCTCAACTTGAGCATTATAATCACCTGATAATGTGACCGAATCTTTGCAATAAACTGGATTATTGATACAACTCATTCCTTAATTCGTTCGAATTGTAGTCGGCGAGCTTCCATACTTCTAACCAAACCTTTCAGCCGAACAGTAAGAAACGGCTGTCCACTAGGGTCAAATCAAACAGTGAGTCTTCTGCTCTGCAGAGGGTATAACGCATTTTCTACTCCAGCCATCTGAAGACAGTCGGTCAAGAAAATCCGACTACACTCGTACAAGGATTCACCAAGACGACTGTGTGAGATTGAGTAAATAATTACATCTTTGCCTTATGCACATATTGCAGAGATACAGTATACATCAGAAATAAATATGTTTTAAAATGAAGTATGAATACCTCTGCTCAACTACAATAGATTATAAACTGCATTGAATAATATCTCCAGTCATTGGTTTCAACAATCCTAGCAACATCATCTGCAAATGTAAGATGATAATCACACGATTATGAGCAATAATTTGTGCTCGAAACGTCATCAGTTAATATTACTGTGTAACACTGTGATTTATCAAAATAAAATCTTATCCATAATGGAGTTACACTCTACCACAGTGCCAAAGTTTTATACTTATATGATGTTACAGGATTAGACTACACCGACCCCTAGATTAGAAATAGGAAGTGAAGTGGTAGAGCACGTTGACCACTTCACTTACTTGGGAATTACCAGCAGCCTGCGCCAACGGGTTGATCGCTGACGAAATTTCAGTACGGAAACAGAAAGGTAGTTTCGCATATGCCAGTTTACGCTGTATCTGGCGTAGAAGTGATATCCGACTATCGAACAAAGAGCATGTGTACTGCTCAACAGTCCTCTGTCCTCCTTTATGGCTGTGAGTGAGACCTGGCCATTGAGAGTGGAAGACATGAAAAGATTAGCTGTCTTCGATCATAGGTGTCTGCGTTCTATCTCCCATTTGAAGTGGCATAATAAGGTGAGCAATACTGAGGTTAGGCGTCGAGTGCTAGGTAAGGCGGGGAAATCAATCGATGAAACTGTGAAATTACATCGACTGAGATGGTTAAGACATGTGTTACGTATGCCTAGTCATCACCTTCCTCGACGGGCAATGTTAGCTGATATAGGGTCAGGCTGGAAAAGAGCTAGCGGTGGTCAAACGAAAACATGGCACCAGTCAATGAAATCTACAACAGCTAGTCTAAGCCACGTAGGAAGGTGTAGACTTCCTGACTGGTTGGGGTCCTCGGGACGGTAAAAACCAATGGTTGGAAACAATTGGTGATATGGCTCAAAATCGTTCTCACTGGCCGGCGCAGATGCATCCACTCCTTGTGACATAATTTCCAACGAAACTGTTTTGTTCTTCGTTATTACTATTCCTTTGTCTCACACCTCTGTTTACTGTCTCTAATATGCATTTCTTCCCTTGCTTTGTGTGCTACATGGAGTGTGGCGACTTGAACTGCCGCACATATGTGCAAAGTTCTATGTCGAAAACAGACCGACCGAGCAACCTGTGATAGACAGTCTTTATTTCACTGCACGTTTCAAACCAATGATTTCATATTGGAAAAATTTATTTGATCTGGAATCGCATACTGCCACAGTGGCCAAGTTTTACAGTTACATTAACAGACCAATGATTATCAATGGTTTATCAATTTGGGGAGATTTCATTTGGTTTCTAATCTCTTCAGGTCAATATAATTCAACTTTGATTATTACGTGTTGCGGGGGTAAGAGATGAATGGGTGTGCATAACAAGTACTGCAGGTTCCTTCAATGAAGGTACGACTAACGTCTGCTACCTTGATGTGGTTGTAGATCCTGCATACCACAGTAAACCCCAACAAGCTACACTGGATGGAAGCAATATTCCTGTGTGTACTACAAAACCAGAAAAGTTGTCTGGATAGCGTTTAGACTAAAAGCAGTTATTATCGAAGTGTCAGTCGCTTACAGTATGACGCTTTTATTCTTTGTGATAATAATTCGGATAGGAACACAACAATAACTCAATTCAATGAAGTACATTCCGATATGAAATTCACATGTGAAGAGGAATCCCAAAGTAGAATAGCCTTCCTAGATGTCCTCCTTACAAGAAAACCAGATGTTAGTACAAAGAGAAAATTGTATAGGAAAAGCACATGGAAAGGACAATATACACATTTTCACAGCCTTGTTCCTCTCCAGTACAAAAGGAATCTAGTAAGGACCGTCAGCCACAGAGTTAGAGCCATATGCTCAGAAGATGTAAATAAAAATGAACTTAGTATTGTATTTGACATCTTAGTTGAAAATAGCTATGCAGAAAAGTTCATCAAGAAACACAAGATCAAGAAAGTAGAAAAGGACTATTCCCTGTCTGCAAGTAAGAAGCCTTTATATATACGTTGCAGTTCAAGGGTGACATTCCCAGTGAAATAATTACTGACTAAGTGTGAAGATCTATTCAAAGAACTTTCAATGCTAATAAACTACCAGTCATGCTTTCTACACGACTGATAGTGATTCCTTGATTGAAAGATGAAATACCTAGACTAGCCACTTCTCATTGTTTCTAGCAATTTAACTACGCTTGTGCAGCGAGTTATATTGGCCGCTGCTCTAGGAACTCGATTTTTCGTGCTCCCTCGTCAACACCTACCAGTGTGGCTAAATGAAGGTGTGGTGGTAAAAATCATCAACAGTTCGATATTAGACCACCTGGTCCAAACCGGCCACAAAGCCAGCATTGACAAATCCTTCTCCATCATCTATCCGGTACCAAATAAATTGCCAAAGGAATCCAGGTACCACATACTCCAAACACCAGAGACTATCGCGATTCACCTTAAACAACCGGTGCTCTATGTGCAGAAGAAGCAAGTGGCGCCAGCCACTACTACTGCCCTGGCCTTCAGTGGAGACTATAAATTCATGAATTTGTATTATTATCTTTCCTAATTTCTCTGTCTGATATTCAGTGTATTGTTATGTTGATGCTATCGAACTGTAATCCATTGATATCATAATTGATTCGATGTTATTTGAACAACATTAATGTTGTTAATAACACTAATTCATTCACTTTTATGTATATGTAACTGTAGAACCTGATGATGAAGTTATCGAAAAGAATATTCTTTGTTCAGTAACCATTCGTTTACAGTATGTTAGAGGTCTGAGGGTGAAGTCGAACTGCAATAAGGTGTTTTCCTCGGACGAATAGCAAGCCAGCAGTGCTGCCTCTTCACTTTGAGGAGTGCGGGTTAGAAACAGTCGACCTCAACATTTTTCGCCTACCTACTTATTCTGCAGTGGTTTGCAGACAGCGATAAGGGTCATCATACGGATACAATTTCAAAAACCACTTCAAACAGACTGTCTATGCGCAGCCTTAAGTAGCTGTCCCCCTAAAATCTCTGTGGTCACGCAAAACCAATGCTGTCTCTCTCTTGTTTCAGATATTTCAGTTCAAGTAAACTTACAAGTAGTCGATTAATAATTTTAAAAATTACATAAAAGTAAACATGTTTGACCAAACCAAAAACACACACTTACATCACGTAGATCAAAAGTGATTTCTAATTCCTTTTTAAATTGTTTCGCAAATTCAGGATACATTTCTAAAATTTCTAACAGATCATCACGTTGTATTCGATGTAAATCGCAATAGGTTAACGCCTTCACATTATACTTTGACTGGCCCATACTAATATAATCAGTTGGATTTTCACCGAATACATCGCCTTGTCCAAGTACAGCCAGTATATCATTACAATCATACATGATTTCAATACTACCACGAGCAATAAAACACAGAAAGTTTAATACATCACCTTTGTGAACAAGTGTATCACCCGGTGGGACATGAGTAGTTTTCAGTTTCAATGCAAGCGATCTTAGGCAACCTTGACTAGCATCTATAAAGACACAGAGAAAACAGTTAGAAGAAGAAAAAAAGCAATCTTAAGAAGGGTTGAAAATGCTGCAGATGATTGAATGCAGTTGAATTTTATAAATGGGGTGGAGTGAATTGGAATGAGTAGCTGAGGGTCAGGGAGAATGATGAATGGAAAACAAGAGGAATACTGTTTTCAACGACAACTCACTATTTATCATTACTAGTAATAAGCTTATAATCAGAAACATATTCATCTTTAGGTTTCCACATCATAATTTTGAACTGACGAGGTACTGACTGATCTTTTGCTCATCACTTTGAGTAGAATTTTAGTCATGATGGATAGTTATAATTGGGTTTCGATTGTCATAGCGAAATGACTGACTATTCAACGTTGAGAACCATTTTGAGGCGTGTTATCAACACTGTCCAGCTAAAGGTTCCAAACATCTTGAGAACCTCAGGCAGTCTGCACCTCTCTACCTGTCTGGTTCAAGCCAACAATCGGAGACTTCATGGTTTGGTATGACAACCCATAAATCTCCCCCAAACCGATCAAATATCAGCTAAAACTACTCGATTTCCTAGATATCTCACTCAATGCAGCTTCACAAAGCTCAAAAGTTGACCATACGTCTAACCTCAGTATTAATGAACATATTATACGACTTAAATTGAGAAACAGACAGCAGACACCTATGATCAAAGATGACTAGCCTCTTCACATATTACACTTTCAACAGTCACAATTTTGAAAACAGTGGAAGATTTTGGAAAAAGATTTCAAAAATCATACAGAAAGTGTTATAGGAGATGAATGCCACACAAAATGTTAGGCAAATGGTTTGAACAGAAATGAGAAGAAGAAAATATGATATTCAAGTGTTGGTTTGTAGGGATTTGATTGGTTACGGGGTTTCATCATGAGCTGACATTAGTTAGAGAACCATTGGAAAACCTGGGAGTACTGGACAGATGTTTCGTCCTAGTTTGGGACTCTTCATCAGTACGCACCCACCGGGATTCGAACCCGGTTGGTTTCAGTAACATCTCACTAACTACAATAAATGAGAATAAAATGAATTCATGCCGGTTTTTATAATTCATCTATCTGTCTACAAATGCTTGATATTTTTATTCCTCGTATTCAGAAATATGAAAACTACAAAATTATTGACAAAGAAATAGCGTACGCTGAATGTCTCGTAATTGTCATCCTTCGAACTTGCATTCACAGCACTCCATTTATTTTTTTATATACTTGTAGTATTAATATTATTTTTCACAACACTGAATATAACTCTTGCACACACAGAGACACCGTGAAACTTATATTATGTTGATTATAGATCGATTAGTACCTCAGTTAATTGTTTATTCACATTTTATGTTCTCAATGGCTGTATATTTAACTGGTCATCGAAACTGTCTTCTACTTGTACTACAATACCGTTTCTAACATAATTTTACTGGCTAGTGTATTCTAACATTAGTCGATTTATAACTGTAGAGCCTGAAGACACTGTTGAGAACAATCGTACGCTGAGATTATTTTCTCAACAAAAATCATTATTTGTTTTATTGTGAATACTTTTTGTATATACACTAACAAGTGGATCAGTAGGCTAGTCAGGTGTTCACAACAAGGCGTTCAAGGCCTCATATTTTCATATATTCACATCCATACGTGAATATTTCAAAGAAATAATTCTTTTTTATTTTCTAAATAATTGTTTAAATGCATTTTCAATAGGCGGAAAAAACTCCACCGATCTAGACACGGAAATAAGAACAAGTAACTTAGGAAAGAGAAAAGTCTTTTTGTTGAAGTGATTGTTCTTATTTAGTGCATTTGATTTATTTTATCCTTTTTTTGGCATTATAAATCATTCTGGAAAAATTTATCTAGTACGAAGTCTAATAAAGGTGCCGCCAACAATTATAAATCTCATCCAACAGTTGTACGACAATGCTGCAGGCCAAATAATCCACAACGGGAAACTCAAGGAATCCTTCGAAGTGAAGACGGGAGTAAGACAAGCTGGCTACCTGCTATCTCCAATGATTTTCCTGATTGCGATATACTGGATAATGCGACAATCGGTTAGCGGTCAGCGAGGAAACAGACATAAAATGGAGGATCTGGATTTCGCTGATGATATATGTCTGATTTCCCTCAAAGTGGAAGATATGCAAGTGAAAAGCAACAAGTCAGCAGAAGAAGCATCAAAGGTAGTCCTTTAGGTGAACATAGAGAAAACAGGGATTTTGACGATTCCTGGCCAACAGCAACAACAAACAAAAATCAGCATAAATGGGAGAAATCTGAAACAAGCAACCTCCTTCACCTATCTACCTACCTAGGAAGCATCGTTTCAACCAATGAGTAACTGATGAGAATATCAAAGCGAGGATCAGGAAAGCAAGGCAAGCTTCCTTCATTTCTCTCAAGTCTGTGTAGAGATCGACAGAACTCACCATGAAATATAAGATCCGGATTTTCAACTTCAATGTGAAATTAGTGCTACTATATGGATGAGAGACTTGGCCAGCGTGTCACGACGGGCATTTCGAACAAACTACAGATCTTCATCAACAGCTGTCTTCGCTCAATATTACACTCAAGGACAGATGGCTGGCCAGAAAAGATCAGCAACAGGGATCTTTGGCAATGAACGAACGAACCAACCAACCCAGCAGGAACCACTTGTGCAACAAATATGCGGGGAGAAATGGAGGTGGATTGGCCATACTCTGAGAAAACAAATCACTAAGTGACATCACACGCCAGGCCACCACTGGAGTGGAACCAGAATGGGAAGTGGCCAGTTGGTCACCAGTGGGATGGTGACGTGGAGGACGTCATGTGAAAAGGAGATGAAAGCATGTGGACAGACGTGGTGGCAGGTGAAAACGTTGGCAGAGAACCGAACGCGATGCAGACGTGAGTCTGAAGCCCTATGTTCCTCTAGGAGCTAAAAGGAAACAACGAACAAACGAAGTCAAGTAAAGCCAACTTCTCAGGTACATGCTGAAAATTCCATATTGTATCAAAAGTACTGTTTGCAATAAAGCTATTAATATAATTAGGACTGGTAAATGAAGAGGGAGAATAGAAATCAAGCAATCTCTTCTTTTACAATAAAGCACAAGCATTTCCAAGTGATGGATTGTAGGGATTTGATTAATCTGAATATAAATCTATTGTTTAATAGTGGTCGACCACATGATGGACTTCCTGGAGTTTTAATGAGACCTCAGGGTTGGCGGAGTTCACTCAGTTGACTGTGAGGATAGATACTCACTGACAGAAGTTAGAAATCACGGGTCGTTTATATTGTAACCGAGTAGCCGAGTGGTCAAGGGGCTTGCCTCAAAATTTGAATGTCCTTAAAGGGTTACACATTAATTTTCAATTGCTAGGGGGAATCTATGACATTAAATATCTGCCAGTTACGATACTATATATATGTAAATATGCATTTCTGTAAATGATTAAAATCCTTCAAAGTTACACTAAGTGTACCAGAGTAAATAGAAGGATACACTGGTTTACTTCTTCGCCTGAGTACTGATCGAGTTCTATCAGTCAAGTTTGCAGCGTAATCACCAAACTAGGTTACTCGCCATCAACGTAGATTTTGAGGTGATATTCAGTATTTGCAGGGGAAGTAGGCTTTAGTCCATATTCTACAACATTAAATCATAATCACGGAATAATAATCTGACGGAAATGACAAACAACCAGAATCAAGAAAGCAGATTTTGAGAGGAAAAGTGGAAAGTTTAGGAAAGCAACATAAGTGATACATGAATGCCTAACATAAATATATTTGGAAACTTGAATTCGCAAAAAAATGCCCTCTCAAAACAATCTACTGTTGATGATTATGCCAAAAAAATATAATAGGGATAAAATGTTGTTTAACTGAAAATAGAAAAACTAGGTCACTAAAACTATATATATATATATATATATATGTAAACATGAAGTTAAAGGGTTTTACTAATTAAGTCCCTATTGGGATCATCGTTATCGCAGTGTGAATATAAACAAAATGATGGCAGAAAAACATTTTCAACGAAATACTAATATTAATTCACTAAATTCGGATAGGCGTCGGTGGCATAGCGGTTAGGACGCTCGCCGACCATGCAGATGGTCCGGGGTTCGATCCCCGGTCACCGACGCACTCCTCTACCTCGCTAAGCCAGAAATAATGCTGGTGAAGAGGAAAGGTTGGGCATGAGGCTAGCAACCCCATCCTGTAAAATAAACACTGCTACAGAAACTTCAAGCCACAAGCTTGAAGCCCTATGTTCCACTGGGGAACGTGAAGGAAAAAAATTCGGATAGTGTTACTAGAAGACGGAGATTATCTGAAAGATATGAAAGATGTATTTGCACAATACACTTAGTAAAACTTCGTGGCATAGATGTTATTAGGACAAGACATATAAGCGAACAATATTGTTTTCAATTAGATCTCCTTCAGGCTTTACGCTAATTTACATAGATTTATATATAACAATTTTAACCTATGACGGTGATTTTGTGGATCAAATAATAATAGTAATGTGGCAAATGTTTTTATGTTAATCTACAAATTTAGCTGCTGCTGTAGAGAGAGCTGTATAGAGAAAACAACTAGACAGCTCAACAAACACATTAATGAGGATCTTCCTTCATGGTTCGGAAAAGGTCAAATAATATCAATATGAAGTTCCATTTTGACTTATTTGATTGATAGCGGTCACCAAGTAGACAGATGTGGCGCCTACAAACTTATCTATCACACATTCTATTGAGCCTTTCCAAAGGAATTCAAACACGCCTTTTACACATAGCCGAAGCTATGAGAATTAATTCGAGAGAACAATCCTAGTCTTTGAATACAAAAGATGCTTGTTCTACCTTTGTCACTCACTTGGACTAGATAAATTCTAATCAGAACCCTCCCACTCTCTCTTATTTTCCATTTCCTTCGTACTTCTGTGATATTCATTTAAACTCGGATTATCTGTCCACTTCACCTACCTTTAGTATTACGTAACGTTTAGGATTTGACCTAATTTATTTGCTTATTGAACTGTCTGCATATACACATATATTACTACCTTCGTTATTCTTATCGTCACCTGCGTAAACCTTATTATCACTGATTTGTTATCATTATAATCATCGTTATTGCTGACGTTCAAAACATTTACCACATTATTATTATCCCTATCATTATTATTTGATCCACAAAATCACCGTCACAGTTTAAAATTTTTATATATAAATCTATGTAAATTAGAGTGGAGCCTGAAGAAGATCTAAATGAAAACAATATTGTTCGCTTATATGTCTTGTTCTAATATTAATAATGGGAATAGATGTTATTGACAAACATGAGTTTAATTCATTGAAACCCACGGGATCTGACCTCTTGAATCTTTATGGATTACTCAAGATCCATAAGGTTGATAATCCATTACGTTCAATTTTATCAGTGTGTCACTCTCCCACACATAAATTAGCATTACATTTTAAGTCCAGTGCGCACCGAACTATGTCAGTTTTCTTTGAAAGATACATTTGAACTTGTTGACTGTCTTGTAAACATGAATATAAAAGATGTGAAAATGTGTTCTTTTGATGTTAATTCCTTGTTTACTAATGTACCGTTGATTAAAACTGTTGATATTCTTTGTGACTACACATCTAGTCGTTTTTCATTCTCTTTTCCTTTAACTTATTTGAAAGATTTATCACTATTGTGTACTGACAACGTCCACGTTTGAAGGTAAGCACTTTCAACAAGTGCATGGTGTTGCTATGACCAGTCCATTAGAACCTTGTTAGCGGATGTCTGCATGTCTTACGTTGAAAAATTGCCACTTGATTTAATTGCTAAAGTGCCATTTCAGAGGGAATATGTAGATGACATTGTTTTAATATGTCATAATCATGAAGATGCAAACCGTCTACTGCACAGACTCAATTCCTTACAAAATCATATAAGTCTTACATGAAACGAAGAAAGTTGCAACCATACTTAGGAGTCTCAGAGAAGATGATTCGATAAAGCGATCAATTTATAGAAAGCCTACTTGGATAGGGCGGTATTTAAATTTTTAAAGCTTCTGTCCACTACAGAATAAGAAGGGCTTGGTGAAATGCTGATGCTATAGAGAATGAAAATATAATACTGGTGGATACTCTTGTTGAAAACGGATATCCTTTAAAGATTTTGACCCGGTGTAGAAGCCAGTCAGTCTTAAAACCTATAATATATTCTGCCCCTAAGAAAGATGTCTTCATCAAATTACCCTACAATGGGGAAATAAATAGTTGGATTTTAAGAACAAAATTAAACTCGGTCATCCGTAGGACCTGTTATACAACCCGCTTTGAAATCATTGAAAAAGCCAAAAATATGTTCCACTACAAACCTCAAAAGTGCACAAGTGATTACGTCACATCCCACACTATTTAACAATTTACGTGTGTGTGTGTGTGTGGACACATATATATGGTGGTTATTGTGGTTTGCATGTGAGGGTGGGAGAGCATATTCTGAAATGGTTAGGAGGACAGATTAACTTTGGAAAATCAATAGATGCAGGTGGCAGCCTACCAACTTCGTCTGTAGCCAAACATCTAATCGATATGAACCAGAAGATTGATGTCAACACAGCTCTTAAGGTCACCTATAAAAATGGTCAAGGGCGCTTACTGAAAAACGATGAGACTATAGCTGTTTGTAAACTAAGGCACCTCCCCCCACTGTGTGTTCAGAACACAATTTAGTACTCTTAACTCACAATGATATTATCTGATTGGATAAACAAACGTGTTAATTTAATTGGTGGATGGTGACTAGCAGTGGAATCCAGGATGCGCATTTCGTCCTATTTGGGACTCGTCATCTGGATGTCCTGCTTCCCCAGTGAGTGATGGGCACTGGGTTTGAGACTCGGTGGGAACATCATCACTCACCGGGGAACGCAGGTACATTCATATGACGAGTCCCAAATAGGATGAAATGCGCATCTTGGATTCCAAAGCTAGTCACCATACACCAATTAAATTCTAATTACATGCCCAGACATCGTTGAAGTATCTGCACAAGAAGCCGACATGTCAACCTGAGACCGAGCACTTCGGTACAATCAATCGACGGGAAAATCTAAAATTCAGTTAAACGTGTTAATTATTCGTATTATTCGTAAGTCCTTTTTGATATAGCAATAAGAAAACGTAATTTGTCACTTTGTCTACTTTAATCGCCCTTTATTTTATCATATAAATTGATTTGACAAGTAAATGTGTACGAAATGTATTGCGCAAATACATCATATTCTACAGATAATCTCCATCTTCTAACAACACTATACAAATTTATAAAAGTGACTAATTGTTTTAAAATCATTAAATAGCAATGTTAGTGTTCAGTAGCTGAGAGAATATGCTTGACCTTGCTTACAAGATGGTAGTGAGAAGTGGAACAGAAGACACTCATTTCATTGTATTCTAGACTTCTCAGATGAATGTGCCTATATGCAAATGAGTGATGGTGTTTTAACTGACACTCAGATCTATCAACCATCGTTCTAAACAGTGAGGCATGTGTTCTCTGTGCGCATACACCGACAGAGAAGGATCATTTTGATCCAAAGAAATATGAGTAGGCGTTGATCAGAGTGATATAAGTGCCCATATAAGGAAACAGTATTATCTACTGGATTTAGTTGTAGGCACGATTAATATTATTGTAAGCAGTAAATTCTGCTCAAAACATTATCAAGTTTTATAACAGTGAAAACTATTTTTTTACGTGATGAAATCCACTCATTCATGTGTAGTGAAAACAAGTATTTATTCAGTAGGGAAATATCCCTTTTTTCACCTATTTTATTCACAAGCTGTGAAACCGCCTGTAAATGATAATGCAGAGGTAAATAATTCCCCAAAATTATTGGCCACAGCATTCATCACTGGACATTGGATGCTGACCCTCACTATTTATGTCAACTTGTTTAGCTGAAGGCTTCCGGTCAAGCATTCACGCCATTTGGTACTCCATTGTGTCACGTTCGTTCATTCGTTCGTGCACGATCCCTAGCTAGCTAAGCAATTATCTCGCACTCCGATTTGGTCCCGGTATACATCTCGTAATTTGAATGATCAACTATTGTGTTTTGCTTTACCTTTGGTCTACGCGGAACGAATACTCTAGAAGTTGTGGGTATTAGGTCTTGAGTTAGTATACTTCGTGCTACCCGTGAACGTCAATACCGTCAGCCTCTAAAATACCTAGAAAAGGCAGGCAGTTGCAAAAGAGAGAGGAAGGGGGAGGGTAAATTTGAAGTGGATGGCAAACAGAGGAGATTTTAATGAGGGGACGAAATGTGTTGAATGGCTTTGACAGCCGTTTCGATTTAGTTTGGTACTGTTCATCAGTGAACATCCACAATGGAACTGCAATTCAGTGAGCTCTAACTGATAGCAATCAGTGACGAATTCTACCCCGGACTCAAGCATATCGCTGCTATCTCTCACACTTTAAAAACAAAATCATTGGTAAAAAAAAGTTTCCTCACGGAACAAATTCTGGGTTTTTATTTTGCTTTACATGTGAAAATTTAGTCTGCCAACTAAGGTTGGTAAGTCAGTGAAACAGTCTACAAATAAATGACACCATAAATTTGAATATTACGCTCATTTACAAAATAACAGTGAATACAAAATATTCAACAATGAATTATATATATATGTCATATAATACAAGAATTCGACTAACTTTTAAACGGTGGACATGTGTTCAATAGATTTCGATTCAAGTGTAAACAGATATCAGCTTGTAGGCATTCAGGGAAACTTCTCAGTACTAAATTCATATCAATACCATTTGTATACGACCAGGCATGTTGAAAAAATTCTTCTAAACGTCGTTTTAATGGATTTGGAATTTGATGAAAGCGTATAAACTCTTTAACACGTAACATTTGTGCATGATAACGTGCCGTACCACTGTATAAGCGTTGAATAATAGCGCTTACATGTCCAAATATTCCAGCATACATTAAAGCTGTAAATAAAAGGGGAAAGAAAAAATTAATATTAACGCTTCTCACTTTGAAGTTAGTCTCGAAGATGTTATCTAGAAAGAATACAAAATTAACACCAAAAACAATCATCTTCGATGATAAATTTTCTTTAACATTCAAACATTTATCAACATAAGTACTTAACACAACAATAATAAGATAATTGTTGTAGAGGCAATATTTAATTGTGTCATGAATGTCCACGACTGAAGAGTCTTAAAAAGGGTTATAGCCATCGACTAGTGACCTTCAATTTTCAAATGATACTGAAATGAGACAAAAACTACCTTATGGAAAAATTGTTAAGACTATGTAATGCAGGTAGATAAGCTACCGGATGTAGGAAATCGAACGTCTGTTGGCCAACGCTAAACAGATAATTTTGAAGATATAGAATCCTAAATTTTTAATTCATGAATTTTCGCTATCCTTAGCTTTATGCTAGCTAATCCTCATTACCTGAAGTACTCAGTTTTAAATTATGAAGAACAACTTTGCAGAGAATGTCTTTCTGATAAATCTCGAAAAAGAGAGCTGTTAAGAGTGGAAAACGCACTCGTAACCGACTATTCTTTATTATTTATTGACTTTGCACAATTTCAACAAATATCAAAGTGAACTTCACGATAAACTAATACCTAGCACAGTGACAAGAATGAGCCAGTTACTTACTTCAGATATGGCCGATACTACGACTAAGCAGACTACGAGGAATACGAATCTAATGCGCTAGTGATCTATAGCTATTTCAGTAGTCAGTCACAACGTCAATGACAAACACAACAAAAATACCAGCAAGCATAAACAAGAGAGATGCGCAGGTGACAGGAGAGATTCACTGGCCTTAAACAACATTCGAAACATTAAAGAGCAATGCTGAATACAAATATTTCAATGAACCCTGATAATTACCGAATTCAGTGATAATTTTAAAGAGTTAATAAGCAGTAAGAGTTCAAACTTTACAAAGAGTGGGAAATATAAAAAGCATAATGAGAATGTTTGACGACTGGAAGATATAGTCAGTTATTTTCATGGTTTTAGGCCAGTGTTCGACAAAATTCGGGAGATATAACAGTCTCACACACGCTTGAAACTTTTTAACAGTACAAATGTATAACTTCATGCTAAAGCAACTTCAGAAATATTCATTAATTCGGGGGAAATGACATTAATATTACAACAATAAGCTAAAGGAAGCAATCTCTTTGAAGTCAGGATAAAAGTAAGACAAAGCTGTCAAAAATCACCAACGATACTCGTGACTTCAGTGAACTGGATCATGCCACAGCCCGTGGGGAGTCAGAAGACAGGAGGACTCTAGAAAATTACGACTAATGTCCCGCAAATTTGAAGATCTACAGGAGAAAACAGCCAAATTGGCAAAGGAAGCAGAGAGCACAGGACTTTAAGCGAATATCCAGAAGGTTGAGGTAATGTAAGTACCTAGCCAAAAACAAGCATCAATCATTACCAAAGAGGGAGATTTGAAGGAGACTACTTTTTCACTTATATCGTTTCAGCTACGGGCAGCACATATGAAGATGTCAAACACAGGATGGGAAAGGCAAGAAAGACCTTCATTAATCTGCAGTCAGTGTGAACATATACTGCACTAAGAACAAGATTTGGATTTTCAATAATATATGGTGCAGAGACTTGAACTGTCAACAAAAGCATTTCGAACAAGCTATTGGAGACTGTCACCAAATAGCTGTCTTAGATCCATTCTGAAGATGAGATGGACATAAAGTATTAGAAACAAGGAACTCTGATAACAGATCAACTAAGAATCTATTGCACAAACAATATGCCTGAAAAAATGCATATGAGTAGAACACCCGCTAAGGAAAACGTTGAGTGACATCGCGCGCCAGTCCATAGCTGCAGTGGAACTAGAATGGGAAACGATGAGTTGGGTGTAGGTTTGAGGGTGACATGAAGGACATTATGCGAGGAGAAGATGAGAGTTTATGGACAATAGTAGAGCCAGCTAGGAAGAACTGTAAAGAAACAGGATGAAATGGACATGTGTTGTTGAAGCCATATGTTCCACTAGGAACCAAAGGAAATAATAATAAAAATGGGAAATCTCTAGGACTCCTTTTTTGAAATTAAACATAGTGTATGCCATCAGAGAGTAACTATTTCCACTTTTCATTTATTTACTTGTTGACCTGATAGAACATAAGGCTCCAAGCTTGAGCTGTGCAGTTTCAATAGTGATAGTGTTATTTCAACGAAGTAGGGTCGTTAGCTTAATGTCTATCTCTCCCCATAAATCGGGTTTACTACCGGCAAAGCGACGTTTAGGAGTGCATCGGCCGGGAATCGAACCCCGAACGAGCTTACTACCATTGAATCACTGAAGCACCACAGTGAGATATAAAACACTACCAACTCTGTATTGAAGTGAAAGGGAACTACTCGAGTGAAAGATGTATATACTTCAGCTGACAGCATCGATTATTCATCTAAACTATTAAAAAAAGAGAAAAACTCACAAAAAGATGAAAGTGCATACAAACAGTAAAAAATAAAGAAAACAAAACGAAGCGAAACTTCATGAATTCAAGTTCACAGTTTTATTGCCTTTCACTTTTTTATTTATGTCTACGAGTAAACAAATGAGAAAAGTGTTTGTGTGTGTGTGCGTGCAAGCAGGGGGGAGGGGGTAAATTCAAATGATTCCCCTTGGGAAGTAATCCAGACATTCTGACTTGAACCAATTTCGACTCATATCAAGAAAGCGGCGATGAACAAACGTACAATTTGAATATATATATATATATATATCCTACCGATACACACACATATTTAATCTGTCTACATTTGTGCGTAAAAGTTGAACTGAAAGTAACAGAATAAACAGTTAAATTTCCCATTTCTAATTTCACGTTTAACAAACAAAACGACAGGAACTAAACACAAATGACATATACTGTTGCAAAAAAACCTAACTGACTTATTTTGTCTCACTGTTTTCTGCAAAAAGGAGAGAAATAAGTTAACTAACAAAAAATACCTAATATTACTGTAAGTTACTTGTTTTGCCTTTTCTACTGATTAACTGGTATTGACATGGAGGGTAATCGATCAGTGGGAAACTTCAACAAATAAAAACTGTTATGCTTTGCACAAAAAGGTGGCACTTGTGGCATTGTGGATAATGCTTTGACGTCCGAAACTATAGTTGCTGGATTCGACTTCATTTGGTTTGCAGACGCATCCAACCGATAAGTCTAGGATAAGGCAAAACACGCGTCGTGCATTCCACCACGAGCTAGCACCAAGTAGAAATTCTTGTTTTGAAGGTAAGTGGACTCGCTAGTAATTGTGAAACACAAATGAATGTCGGTCAACCAATTGAGTTCTAGTTGAAGTATATCAGTGAACTGGTTGTCATATGCGGACCTTTAGTTGAACTATATTTAATCTGTGAATGAAACCTCTTCAAAATTTTATTGCGGAAATGTTAGTTAGTAACTAGTGTAATGTGCCTAGTCCTTTGTCTGGTGCAGACTGGATTCTATCAATTAAGTTTGCAAGGTTTGCAGCCAAGGTTGGAGATACGTCTTGCTGATGATTGCCAACTAGCACGAACTCTAGTTCCTCCAACTATCTAATACCAACAAAATAAGTCTCTTAAGTCTCCGGGAATCAACAACAGTTAAATAAGCATTGAAAAAGAACTAGAGAGAACTGGACAGTTGTTCCGCACTACCTAGCTTATACATTAATCAGCAAGGAGCAGTGACGATTCCTTCACCTCCCAGAGGTCAAAGTCAGCATCACTGGGTCATGCAAAGAGCACGAATGCAGTCCAATAATCCAAAGTTTCCAAATTTCTCAACCATAATATTTGAAACTTTCATACTGTATTAGATGGTTGGAGGCAATCGGTAGGAAGCCTTGGACCCAGGTTTCGTCCTAGTTGGCACTCATCAGCAAGGCGTATCAGCAACCTTGAAAGGAACTGATGTCCCTTCTGAGATTCGAACCCTCATCACTCAGTGCTGCAGTCAGAGACGTTACCGCTGAGCTATTCAGGCTCGCGATTGACCTCCTGTAGGACTGACTGATGGAATTCAGTCTGCAGCGAAGATAGGACTAGACACATTACACTAGTTACTGACTAGTGTGCAATCAAAAATATTTTCACACTCTGTTTTATAAAAATTTCCTTTTTTTTAAACAATTACTGAAAATATTACTAAGAATTACCCCCCCCCGCAATAGTTTCATTAAAATAATCCACCCTTTGTCCACTTACTCGATGATACTGGTGTGTGGTGAGAGCTGTCTACTAGCCAAGTGGTGGACAGTAATTGAGGTCAATGTTTATGTATCAAATATTAGTCATGTTGTGGTGAGAAATGGTTGCTGGCCAAATTGGTTGACAGTAATTGAGGTCAAAGGTCAAGGTGGACAGGCGGTTACAGTTAACATATAGATGAACTGACACAGCCACAAGAGATGCAAGGTTAACTTTGTGTGAGAAACAACCAATCAACAGACTGTATTTTCTACTAACATTGACCTACAATAATGTACATAAAAGTATATAAATACGTGTTGATTTTTCGTAATAAACGATCTGTTGCCTGTCCCTTGTCTTCTGTTGTTACATTTGGTGTCGCTGCCTACCGACAAATGGAAAGCCTATGCCCTGCAGTTTTTGATGGAGACATATGGATCTTCGGGCAGGACTTCGAGGCTTCTTCGCAGTTGAGTGGCGTTCAAGATCGGTCAGCGATGAGGCTGCTACTTGGGACGCTGCTGGGAGGTCGGGAGAAAGCAGCATATGGAAGTGTGAGGCGAAATACCTACGAATGTGCGACAGGGTCAGGCAAACAGTTTCCAAAGTGGGAAGGACCATATATGGTCACGTTGAGATGAGGTTACGCAGACACAATCGCAATGGTAAACACCGTTAAACAAGTGGACATCCGCAAGCGCCGAGATTCCAGACAGCAAGACA